GGATCATGACCTGAGCCGAAGGCAGATGCTTAACGACTGAGCCACCCAGGTGCCCCTCAAGATATTTTTATTTATTTTTGAAGGAGGGTGGGCATTGGGAGGGGGAGAGAGAAACCCAAGTGAACTCCATGTTGAGCATGGAACCCAATGTGGGGCTCAACCCCAAGATCCTGGCTGAAACCAAGAGCCAGATGCCTAACCATCTGTGCCACCCAGGCACCCCTGGGTGTCAAGATTTTTAAGATGTCCCCAGGTCACTCTGACCTGCAGCCAGGGTGAGAGCTACTGTCGCAGCAGTTTTGCTTTACTAGTAAAAGTAAAACTATGAAAATATCTTTGGTCTTAGTAGAAATTCATTGGAAAGAGGGGAGCAGAACTCTGGACTTCATAAATGCTATTTATTGCCGTAGCAGTTCTCCAAAAGGTCTAGTTTGTTAGGGAGTCTCATGATACCTGTAAATACAGATAATTGAATATGTGTAGTAGGGACTGCCCGATCATAGAAAGGGCAGGTGCTAAAATCATAGCTTATCTGGCATAGTCCACATTTGTAATGAAACACAACCTTTTCCCTCTGAAACTATAAAATGAATTTCCAGCTTAGCTGTGGAAGGTGTTAAGCTATAATACTTGGTAAATTTTAAGATATGCCAAAATTTATCAGAGAAGCATTTTAAAGTATGATTAATTACACACAGGATTTTGTTTCTTCATGCATACAACAAATGGAAATAAAGTTACAAGAAACTCTTCCGAGCTTAGGGTATTGATACTTAATAACTGGATTCGAGAGGAAAGGCTGCACATACACCATGAGGACTAGAAGAATGGGCCATGTAATAAAAGAAGATGGCGATTTTACCCAGGGCAATTGAAGAACTGATTTTGATATTTCATGACATACTTGCAGGCTTAGCTACTACACTCCTCTAATCAGTGTCAGAAAAATGACATCCTAGAAGCAATGGATTTCAATTCAGTTTTTGAAAGATGAAATGAAGATAAATGTAGGTTTTCCAGGAAGGAGTTGCTGTAGATGAATGTGTGCAGACACCATGAAGAAAGGATTCACTAGTGTCAGGAGATTAATTTGTGCAGCAAATAGGGGGGAAATGGGATAAAAAGTAGTCTTGTAGAGAGCTCCCTTCTTTCTTTGTTTCTTTTATTTTCTAAAGCAGATTTTGTTTATGTGTTGAAAGGTTGTCTCTGAACCATTTAGTACGCTCATTTTTGAGTGCTGGGTGACAAGTCAATACTCTTGGATGACCAAGAGGAATATTAGAGTATGCAGTACAGCATCGATAGCTATAGAACCTATGCGGCATGGTAGATCTACAGAACTTTTTTACTTGCGTAATGGTACCCTTTGACCTTTGCCTCCCATCCCTCCTGCCCCAAGCTCCTGGAAACTACAGTTCTACTCTCTGCTTCTATGAGATTCCATATATAAGGGAGATCATATAGTATTTGTCTTTCTGTGTCTGGCTTATTTCATTAAGCATAATGTTCACCAGGTCTCTCCATGTTGCCACAAATGGCATGATTTCTTTCTTTTTAAAAACTGAATAATATTCCATTGTGTGTGTATATATACACACCATATACCACATTTTCTTTATCCATTCATCCATTGGTGGACATTTAGTTTTTTTTCCCACATCTTGGCTATTGTAAATAATGCTGCAGTGAACATGGGGGTGCAGATATCTTTGAGATATTGATTTCATTTCCTTTGGATATATACCAAGAAGTGGAATTACTGGATTATATATTTCTATTTTTAACTTTTTGAGGAACCTCCATATTGCTCTCCATAGTGGCAGCACCAATTTGTTTCCACCAACAGAGCTTCCCTTTTCTCCACATCTTTGCCAACACTTATCTTTTTGTTTATTTTTGATAATAGTCACCCTAACAAGTATGAAGTGATAGCTCATTGTGGTTTTGATTGGCACTCCTCCAATGATTAGTGGTGTTGAGCACCTTTTTATAATCCTGTTGGTAGTTTGTATGTCTTCTTTGGAGAAATGTCTATTTAGGTTCTTTGCCCATTTTAAATCAGGTTATTTGCTTTCCTGCTATTGAGTTGTATGATTTCCTTATATATTTTAGATATTACCCCTTATCAGATACATGATTTGCAAATATTTTCTTCCATTCTGTAGGTTGCCTTTTCATGTTGTTGTTTCCTTTGCTGTGCAAGAGGTTTTTAGTTTGTTTTGGATTTTTTTTTGTTTTTGTTTTTGTTTTAGTTTGAATTAATATGATGTAATCTCACTTTTTTATTTTTGGTTCTGTTGTTTGTGCTTTTGGTGTCATAGACAAAAAAAAAAAAATCATTGCCAAGACCAGTGTCAAGAAGTTTTTCCCTTATGTTATCTTCTAGAAGTTTTATGGCTTTATTTACATAAGTCTTTAATCCATTTTGAGTTGGTTTTTGTGTATGGTGTAAGATAAGGGTCCAATTTCATTCTTTTGTATGTGGATATCCCATTTTCCCAGCACCATTTATTCAAGAGCCTGTCCTTTCCCCACTTTCTATTTGTGGCACCCTTATTGAAGATTACTTGGCTGTATATGTGTGGGTTTATTTCTGGGCTTTCTATTCCATTCCATTGGAATATGTGTCTGTTTTTTTTGCCAGCACCAGACTGTTTTGATTATTATAGCTTTGTAATATAATTTGAAATTGGGAAGTGTGATACCTCTAGTTTTGTTCTTGCTCAAGATTGCTTTGACTCTTCAGGGTCTTTTGTGGTTTCATATGAATTTGAGGATTGTTTTTTCTTTCTTTTTGTTTTGTTTTGTTTTGAGAGAGAGAGTGAGTGAGTGTGGGGTGGGGAGAGGCAGAGGGAGAGGGAGAGAGAATCTGAAGCAGGCTCCATGCTCAGTGTGGAGCCTGACATGGGGCTCAATCTCACAACCCTGAGATCATGACCTGAGCTAAAATCAAGAATTGTACACTTAACTGACTGAGTCACCCAGGTGCCTCTGAGGATTTTTTTCTATTACACTGAAAAGTGCCATAGGGTTTTGTTAGAGGTTGCACTGAATTTGTAGATTGTTTTGTGTAGTATAAACATTTTAACAATATTAATTCTTCTGATCCATGAACATAAGATATGTTTCTATTTATTTGTATCTTCTTAAATTTCTTTCATCAATTTTTAGTTATAAGTATACAGATATTTTATATTTATTTACAGATTTATTTCTAAGTGTTTTATTCTTTTTGATGGTAAAACAAATGGTATTGTTTTATCTCTTTTTCAGATAGCTTATTGTTAGTGTATAGAAATGCAACTGATTTTTGTATGTTGATTTTAAATTCTGCAACTTTGCGCAATTAGTTTTTTTTAATAGTGTTTTAATGGAGTCTTTAGGGTTTTCTATACATAAGATTGTGTCATCGCCAAACAATTTTATATCTTTCTTTCTGATTTGGATGCCTTTTATTTCTTTTATTGCCTAAGTGCTCTGGCTAGGACTTCCAGTAATATGTTGAATAAAAGTGGTGAGAGTGAGCATCTTTGCTTTGTTCCTGATCTTAGAGGAAAAGCTTTCAATCTTTCACCATTGAGTAGAATGCTAGCTGTGGACTTGTCATATATGGCCTTTATTATGTTGAGGTACATTCCTTCTGTACTTAATAGTTGAGAGTTTTAATCATGAATAAATGTTGAATTTTGTTAAATATTTTTCTGCATCTATTGAGATGATCTTTTGACTTTTAATCTTTCATTCTATCACATTATTTGATTTGTGTATGTTGAGCCATACTTGCATCCCAGGGATAAATCCCACTTGATTATAATATATGATATGCTGTTGAATTTGGTTTTCTAGTGTTTTATATGACTTTTGCATCTCTGTTCATCAGGGATATTGTGGTATCCTTGTATCAGGGTAATGCTAGCCTTGTAAAATGAGTTTGGAAGTATACTTTCTTCTTCAACTTTTGCAAAAGTTTGAAATGGATGTTTAAATATCCTTTTTAAATGCTTGATAGAACTCACCAGTGAGGGCGCCTGGGTGGCTCAGTTGGTTAAGCGACTGCCTTCGGCTCAGGTCATGATCCTGGAGTCCCTGGATCGAGTCCCGCATCGGGCTC